CAGTTACGGTTGTGATAGTGATGGGTGTGACAGTGATGGGTGTGACAATGATAGGTGTGACAGTGGTGGGTGTGACAGTGATGGTGTGACCGTAAAAGGTATGACAGTGATGGGTGTGGCAGTGATAGGTATGACAATGATGGGTGTGACAGTGATGGGTGTGATAGTGATGGGTGTGGCAATGATGGGTGAGTGGGGTGGGAGACAGAGGCAGGTGTATCTTTGAGTTTTAGGCTATCCTGCCTGTCTACAAAGTGAGTTCCAGGACAGAGAAATACTGTCTCAAAAAACAAACAAGCAAACAAAAAGGAGTTTGAGTGAAGCTAGTCATGGTGGCACATGATTTTAATCTCAGAGTTTGTGGAACAGAGATGGGGGGGATCTCTGTTGAGTTTTGGGTCAGCCTGGTCTACACAACTATTAATCTCAAATACTTTACATTGGTATGAATTTTGGTATATTGACACAAATTTAAAGTTATTTTTGTTATACTGTATGTTTTTATTCTTGTTTAAGGCATTATGTATATGAAGCTTACTTTAAAATGTAATATATAATTAAGAAATGCAGGTTAGTGATCATCTATAATAATAAAACTTGTCATGTTTTCAAGATCATACAGGGATATATTTTAGATAGATAGGTGATCTTTGAACACTTCAAAGGCCTACAGAACATGGCATTTAAGGTGTTTGATCACTTAAGGTTTTTCATGACAGTAAGACACATCTACTCCCAGCAGCAATAATCTACTTCATAAAAGGATGATGGACCTCAAAGAACCTCCATATGGAGTTTGCTTTCACTGTGACAAAGCTAGACAATTGGGCAGGAAACTGCTCTTGCCTTGACTGCTGACAGTATGCTGTATATACTGGACAGGCAGGACACAAAGGAAAAAGACTGTTGAACTTTTCCAAGACAAAGTAGGGCAGTCCTTCAAAATTTCTGCTTCATAGAAAAGTCTGCCAGACATTCTGCAAGATACACAGGAAAGTGATTGCTGAACTTTGCCAAGACTAGGTGGAATAGTCCTTTAAAATTCTTGCTTCATAGAAGAGTCTGCCAGATATTCTAGGACTGTGGCTCAAATATGGATGCCCCAACACTGCTGAGGAACCTTGAGTGACTGCCCAGGCAGTCAGATGTCTGCCATTTCTATAGTCTTAGAAGTGGCTTATACTACACTTCCTGTTTCCTCAGGTAATATTATATCCTTCTGGGAATTTGATGAAGACTAGACACTTAAAAAAAAAGCAGTCTTTTCTTTTTCTTTCCACTTATTTATTATTTATTCCAAGACAGGAATAGCTTTGGAGTTTATCCTGGAACTAGCTCTTGTAGACTAGGCTGGCCCCAAACTCATAGAGATCTGCCTGCTTCTGCCTCCCGAGTGCTGGGATTAAAGGCATGTATTACCACTGCCCGGCCTAAAGACTAGATACTTATAGCTACAGTTTTCCTTATTTATGATGGGCAATAAATTAGGTACAAAACTTTGAACTCACCAAGATAAGATAAATAAATACCGTCTTTGAATTTGCCAAACACAAATGGACTCAATATTATAAATGTAATCTTCACTTGATAATTATTCTTGTTATATATAGCTTTATTATGTCAAAGTTAAAACCTTTCTTTTTTATTTAGACAAAAGGGAAAATGTTGCAGAATATTTTTTCAATTGGGCAAAGATGTGTTATGTTTGTTTATGCTGCATTTGTTTAATGATGTAAGGATGGGATATGTCGCATTTGTTTCACCTTGCCTGCCTAAGGCACTTGATTGATGTAACAAAGAGCTGAGTGGCCAATAACTAGACAGGAGATGGACAGGTGGGGATGGCAGAGAAAATAAATAGGAGGAGAGATTGAGGCTCAAGGAGAAGAGAGAAGGAGAGAAGAACAAGAGATGAGGAGAGGGATATGCCCAGTGCCAAAGGCCAGGCAGCCACCAGTCAACCACACCTAAGAAGCACTGAAAGTAAGATATACAGAAGGAAAGAAATATAAAAAACAAAAACAAAAACAAAAATAAAAAACTGTACTAAAATGTAGATGAAGAGAAACAGATTAAGTTATAAGAGCCAGTGGGACAAGCGTAAGATAAGGCCAAGTTTTCATAACTAAGACGATGTCTCCATATCACAATTTGGGAGCTGGTTGGTGGTACAAGATGGAAATAGCATATTGATTAAAATTTCAAGATCTGAAGTATAATTTCTGCTGGCATGCTATTTTCATGCTACACAAACCAAAGAAATCATAAAGTTGAAGTTTGTAAGCCAAACCATTGTATTAGGCTACACTTCCTTTTAAAGTAACATAAATCATTATACATGTGCGTGTAAACATATACATACATACATATATAATGTGTACACATATACATACATATGTGTACACACACATATAGAAAACATCTGAGTATTAAAGGAAGCAATGATAATGATAGGTAAGTAATTTAAGAAGGATAAATATATTAGCTTGGTTTTTACTGCAGTGATAAATACCATGACCAAAAGCAACTTTCGGAGAAAATAGTTTATTTGGTTTACATGTCCAGATCTCAGTTCATCACTGAGGGAATTCAGGGCAGGAACCCAAGCAGGAGCAGAGGCAGGAACCATGGAAGGATGCTGCTTACTGGTTTGCCCCTTAGGTTCATGTTCAACACCTGACATATTCATGTGTAAAACAGTGAGTTCACATGGGATATGGAAAAACATGGTTATTATTAGTGATGAGTGGGGTAGGGTGATAATTTCTGGCTAGAAAAAACTTGTTTCAGACTCAGAGTATTTCATACTGACTTGATAATGATGCATGCATGACTCTAAAATAGCCCACCTTTCCCTACTAGGGAACCACAGTGAAATGATGCTCTCCAAAAGTGGTAAATACTCAAAGAAGCTATTTTGTAATGCTATTTTTTTTTGAGACAGGATCTGTCTGTGTAGCTTTGGAGCTTGTCCTGGAACTCACTCTGTAGATCAAGCTGGCCTCAAACTCACAGAGATCCACTGCCTCTGCCTCCCAAGTGCTGGGATAAAAGGCGTGTGCCACCACCTCCTTGCTTTGTAATGCTATTTTAAATATTGAGACAAAAATTATTCTTGTAACAAAAAAATATGCCCTTGGAAATTTAAAGAGTTTTTATAAAAATATATATCAACATAAGTCAGAGAAATAAAAGTGTTATGGAGTTCAAGACTCCTGGAAAAAGACCACAGAATCAATCTGAATAATAATGAGTTAAATTTGTGAAAACTGTTAGCAAGAGAACAGTCTCTGAGTCAACCCTGAGATTGCCATGAGAAGGGGAGTGGGTGAGGATTTTTAAAGTGAAACGACAAGAAGAAGCAGTCGCAGGTTCTAGAAGCCAAAAAAGGCAGTTAGTCACATCATAACAAGTAGATGGTCACTGAGCCTGTACATTTTGGGGTAGGGGGTCACTGAGCCAGGGTTCCTGGGAACTATCTTCCAGGGACAAGCATCAGAGACAAGCTAACCAGGACCAAGATGGATGACCATCATAAATGGAGCTAGTCAGGACCACGATGGATGGCTAACATAAATGGAGTTTCTTTTGCCATCGCAGAAGGAATTATCCTGTTTCTCCTCTGTGTGTTTAAACCAACTGCAGCTATCTTTTTTATACATGACAGGACCTACCCAGGGAAGGCACAGCTCATAGTGGGTCTGCCCTCCTACATCCACCATTAATCAAGAAAAGGCCCCACAACGTTCATACAGGCCAATCTGATAAAAGCATTTTCTCAGTTAAGGTTTCCTCTGTTCAGACGACCCTTGCTGTGTCAAGGTGACCAAAAATTAACCAGAACAAGCAAGAAAGGAGTTGAGGGCACATAGGTGAGGACAGAGAAGAGAGGAGAAATTGATGAGTTGGAAAATTCAATGAGCTAGAGAAAGAGATGAGAAATGACAGAAGAGTGGGATTCTCATTATGAAGTAGCTGCACTTCCTGACAAAGATCAAGATGTCAGCAAGAGCCTTCAATTCTTCCTCCTCATTCGCTTTGCTAGAGTTCATGCTCTGTCATCTCTAAGAGGCTCTGTGTTTCCAAACCCTTCTTTCTTTCAAATTCAAATGAGAGAGTCTGGGAATGGTCAGTTTCTTTCTTAGGATCTAAGACGGAAAAACACATTGTGTCTAAACTGTATAGACAGACATCACGGAGTTTTGTATATAAGAACACCAGTATTTACGAACTCATCTTTCCATAGGTTTAAAAAGTTTGTCTACACCTACCGAATCTTCAGAGAGAAATATGGATATTACAAGATACAGGTAAGAATGCATAAGGACTGTCACACAACAGTGTGGGAATTAGGGGGAAGCTGGGGTCATCTTCCGAATCTTTGATGTGACCACGTGGAGGTTTTCACAAGCAGGAGTACCACACCAAGTTCAATAAGCAGTGAGTGTCACCTGTCTCTGAGAGAAACAGGCCAGTGTTGGAGTGGAGGTCCACGCTTTAGTAACCCTGGCTGTTGCTCCAGACTGTAGAGGCAGTCAAGCCCACTCCCATTAAGGTCAATCACATGAACCTGGACACCATTGAAAACTGCTGTATAAAACTAACCCATAGCCCAGGACGGAAGTGGGAAGGCAGGTGGGCAGAAGCTCAGATGTTCCAAAGTCAAGCATATCCACAGCTGTCTGAAAATAGAACAGGAGCCATTAAGTAGCTGGAAGTTTTAGGGACTCCTTTAGTTTCTCTGGTTCCCTGTGAACTCAACAGGGAAATCTCTTTGCTTCTTTTAATTTAGTTATGCACTTTAAGAAACTTAAGTATAGCAAATGTAATGGAATTCTTAATTACCACCATAAGATCCTAAAATACATTCTGAGAAATATCTTCAATATGCTCATGTAACTGTGAATATTTGAAAGAGATTAAAACATACAGCGACCCCTAAAATACTTGAACATCTTTTTCTCCTTTTTTCTTTTTTTTTGCTGTGGAAGACATCCTCGAGGCAATTGGTAAAATTTGAATTAGTTTCAAAATTCAAACAAGATTAGTAACTAGCACTTCATGAAAGTTAATTTTCTCATTTTAATCATTATAATATGGTTATGCAATGTCTTTGCCTTTTGGATTACTGAAGTACTTAGAATTAGTTAAAGAAATATGCCTTCAACTTTTCAAATGCTTTTGAATATTTTTTTGAGATTTTTAATTGCATCATGGTTCCTGCTCTTTCCTCCCTCCAGACCCTTTTACTCTTTCATGGCCTCTTTTTACATTGTTGTTACACACACACACATACACACACACACACACACACACACACACACGCACACCCCACACCTAAACACATTAAGTATAATCTATTCAGATTGCATTATGCCACTTGTATCCATAAATTTTCACTAACATGACCTGAATATGGATGACACCAATAGACACACTAATGCGGATGGTGGAAAACTCATGAGGCCTCAATTATACATAAAAAATACAGGCAACTGAAGGATGCTGAGGGTGGGCGAAATGGTCTTCTGAAGGGAAACATCACACACACCAGACTGGCTATTGAATACCAAATGGTCAGCCCTGAAAACTATTCTTAAAAAAGAATATACATATGTAGACTGGCTGTGGTGGTTCATGTCTGTAATCCTAACACTTAAGAGGTAGAAGCAGGAGGTGCGGAAGTTCAAGGTCATCATCAGCTATGTAGTGCACTTGAGGCCAGCTTGGACTACATGAAATCTTTTTTTTTTCAAAAATAGAGTAATAAACACACACACACACACACACACACACACACACACACATAGCCCATATATTTTAGAGAGAATAAAAAGGCAAACAAATAAAATATTATTATGTAGTATATGAATTGAGAATTTATGGGAATTTTACTTTTACTATTTTTCCAATTTGCCTGTGTCTGTCTGTAATTACCTCAAAATAAAATGCCTTCTATTAAGTAGACCATTTTGAAACTCATTCTTGCTTTTTTCTTGTATACATTTGGGAATTCTGGATATTCCCTCAGAACCTGCTTTGTCCCTCTTGTTCATGTTTCTGAACAAACCGGAGAGCTCTCCATGCGGCACATAATTCAGATCCAGAGAAGCATTTGGCTGAGGGAAGGTTGTACCCTCACAGACCTGTAGCAGGCAGTGCTTCAGGCCTCAGCGACGCTCTCATAGGAGCGCGCCAAAGTACTTGCATCTCTACGGTGGGGGCTAAGCATGTGCTTCAGAAAACCTCCTTCCAGCCCTATCTATTAGCCAATGCTCGGGTCATAGATCACCACAGTGATGACCAAGGAAACCACACACAAAAGGGCAAAACAAAAGAAAATCTTTTTGTTTTTAAGGTCCTATCAGAAAAGTGGATTTTGTTTTTTCTTTCTGGTTGCTAACTGGAAAACGGGTCTGCCATTTCACTAAGTCACGTTGACACCCTACTCTCAGTATAAACTAGGACTTGTTTCTCTTTATTGGCACCCTATGGAGAGCCCACGTGCTCTTATAGGTCAATTATTTGGCGTTTTCTCCCAGGAGTTCCCTAACCCAGCAAAGGTCAGGAGCACAGCACAGTCTGGTAGGGAACTCCAGTGAAGCTACAATAAGAACCACCCCGGACGAATTGCCAAGGAGGAGGCTCACTCAACACAGTGGCTGAGGATTTTTTTAAGTAGAACTCCCCTTTATTCGGAGTTGCTCGGGCATGAGCTTCCTTTCCAGAATGAGGAACCTCTCTGTGAAAGACCCTTGTGAGAGCACCGGGCCTGAGCTGCTAGCCTCTTGCTTTCCGCTTCTCAACTCAACTCTCAAAAGGAACCCTAAAAACCACTGTTGCAAGAGGTGTCACGTGTCACCCACAGCTGCACAGTGACGAGTGACCTTTCTTATGTCTTTGCAGACTGTGGAAGGGGCTCCAAAGCAGATCTTTCCAAACCTAGAGGAACTAATCTCCAAATTTGAAAAGCCAGGCCAAGGACTGGTGGTTCACCTGTCAAACCCAGTAAGGAAAAAGAGCTTCTGCCCAAGAGGAAGAAGGGTGACGTCAGAGCCAAATGTCTATGGTAAGAGCCCTGACAAAGGGTCAGGAGGGACCCAGAACCCCATGTCCACTTGTAGTGTACTCTGTGGAGTCAGTGGAAATTGATGCCTTGCTCTAGGATATTCCTCTAAGGAGCTTTGTCTTGCTAAGTGCAATTTCCACTATCCCGAGAAACAGCATCTTTCGCCCTGAATGTGGCCAAGACATGGAGTTGTCTGTGCTAGGACAATCTGCAACGAGAGGCAAGGCCTGAGCGAAAAGCAGACATGGACTTCATTCTCGGGCCATGTGCAGTCCACTCATGGGCATAAATGCACAGATGGGCAGGTTTTCATTGAAAAAAAATCATATCAAATCACCCACTAAGACTTCTCCTATTACATTTTGCTCCATCTTTGCTAAGCTTTCATTTATAAAATGATCAGGAACAAATTATTTCATATATATCCCTGAAAGTATGAGGCCATTGCAATACATGGCGGGGGGGCTTCAGTACCTGTGAGTAAAGTCTACTCACAGAACTCGCAGATTATATTCCAAGCTTACCCTCACCTTTGTCATCTGCCCATTGCAGCCCATTTGGAGAGAATCTAGCATCTGCCCGTTCCTGGGAATTTTGAATTAAACACAGACACCCAGAGACATTTCTGGTCCCACCCTCAGGACGAAGTGTGTGGTTTCATTCTGTGCGAGAGGGACTGCAGTTGTCCGTGGGTGGAAATGGTGATGACAGCAGGTCGGCTAACTAGGGAAGGGTGAGAGGGCATGAGTTCTTAGGGATCCTGGAAGCATCCCTACCCATGTTATTCTGTCTGAGCATCCCTATCCATGGTATTCAGTCTGAGCATCCCTATCCATGGTATTCAGTCTGAGCATCCCTATCCATGGTATTCAGTCTGAGCATCCCTATCCATGCTATTCTGTCTGAGCAAAGTCGCTCTTTAAGCTGCCGTGGTAAGCTTCTCATTTCTCTAAAATGGTGAAGCATGGATTTTAATGATGAAAAGAAAATCTGTCCCCTACTATTGTTCCCATCTATCCACCTTCATTCCGGGGGATTGTGTGATTGGTATAATCTGATCATTTCCTACAGACCCAGCCACAGACACAGCCCCACTTCTCTTTTCCACAAAAATTTACAGAATTAGGAAGTATAAAAGATCTTGAGAAATAGCCCGGCAGGTAAAGTGCTTGCCTTGATTGTGTGAGGCCCTGAGTTGGATCCCTAGAAATGATCGTTTTGAAAATCTGGACATGGTGGCACAAGCTTGTCATCCTAAGGCTGAAGAGGCAGACACAGGTAGATCTATGGAGTGCCATGACCATCAAACTGGTGAGCTCCAAGCCAGGGGAAGACCCTGTTTCAAGAGATAAGGTAGATGGCATCTGAAGAACGACATGTAAGGCTAACCTCTGGCCACACACACACAGGCACTCGTGTGCATACACACCTGTATCCATGCATACACACGTACACACAAAAGTGTTAAGGGGAAGGAGAGGAAAGCATAAATGTGTCAAAGTCAGATACTTGTGCAAATCAAGATGAGTTGCTGAGGATGCCTGGGATGGTAATAGTATTGTCTAAGCTGTAATAAAACGCTACCCAATCCCTGGAAATTGGTAGAGAACGGGCTTGGGAGAGGTCTTTCCCAAGAACTGTACATGGAATTTTCCAAGTGTGATCAGACCTGGTAGAATGTGCTCCAGGTACATAACTACCAAAGCAGAAATGCCTTCCCATGGCCTGAATTCTTCCTTCCCTTCCTCTATCTCCTTAGAATAAGCTCCGTGCAGAGCTAATGGGATTTGCACTGGTGAAGGCAGACATTGAGTACTAGAAACTAAGGCTCCACTTATCAAACAAAACAAACCAAAACCAAAAAAACCAGAAAAACACAGAAACCCTATTTGGGCAGCCAAATTCCTCGTGCCACTGCCGCCTTTGGCGATGTCTCTTTGGTGTGGAATCAGCACTGCTTTTTCACGATGCTCTTTCCCTCGAGTCGGGCTGGCTGGTGGGACTTCTGGGTGCGACATCTCATGGCTGTCCTTTGCTTATCCCCAGAGAACACTAACGAGGACTACGTGGATGTCTTGCCTTGAAAACAAGAATAGAGGAGAAAACAAGCTAACGGAAAGGTGGTAGAGCTCTCCGCTGCCACCACCTCTGCAAGTGTTGATCGAAAGTGCCAGTTTCTAGTGGGCCTTTGAGACTCCTCTGATCTGGGTAGCAGGATCTTCTCTACTGAAGCCTTGGAGAAGTCCCTTCCCACATCCTGGCCTTCTGGCACACTCACAAGAAGCTCCAAAGCCACCACTCACCTGTCACTCTCCTATCTTGGGATTGGACAGCCAGAATCCAGTCTCCTGACTAGCTGATCAGAGGCACCGCCACTGCTTCCGGGTTGACAACATCTAACAGGACAATGGAAAGGGCTGCTTCATAGAGAGGGAAGAATGCTCTACAATGACTTCAGAGTCCCCATCCCACGGTTGTGTGACTTTGGACAAACCACCCTTTCTGGTGTGGTGGAGTGATTGATACACACTAACCTGGACCCTCTGTTGAGCCTGGTTGTCCTGGGTGGAGCTGGGGTCTGAGCAGAGGACTCAAGATCTAAGGATACTGAAGAAGCAAACTTGTCCTCTACCTGTCTAGGTCTTGCTGAGGGTTGCGACCCACCCATGATCCCTTTCCCTTCAGTTTGGGCTAGGCTGACTTCCTGCCAGACATTCCTCTGGCCACAGTTTTTCCTCATTATTCCCAATTCTACATATGCAGCAATCACTTTGCCAACTGATAAATATGATAAAAAATATTTATTTTTTATTAATTTTTTGGTTAGCATACAGAGAGATGGGTTTCATTCTGGCCTTTTTATGCCTTAAATCATTATTTTTCTTTCTTTTCTCTTTCTTTTCTTTTTTTTTTTTGAGACAGAATCTCAGTCTAGCCCAAGCTAGCCTCAAACTCAAACTTTCTGTCTCAGCCTCCGAAGTGCTGGGATTACAGACACACGTGGTCACATGTGGCCAGTACTTTCTTCATTCTTGACCTTCCATTGTACTTCCCCACTTTCCCCAGCTCGCTGGGACCCTCCTGTCCCCACAGAGGCTCCCTTCTGCATATATTCCTTTGCCTTCTCCATTCTTGCTTCCATTTTAGACCTCTTCCTCCTGTCTCATAGTCTGATTTCTGAACTTTCATGTCCTCCATATGTATGTATGTTTATATATATATATATATAAATTTAAATCTACATTTTGCATAGGAGAAAAATGTGGTTTGTCCTTCTGAATCTGATAAATTTCACTTAACACAATGACCTTCAGGATTGTCCGTTTCTTGGTGTGTGCGTGAATGCTATAAATTCATTGCTCTAATTCCATTGTGCATGTGTACAAATGTGTGGTTGGCTATTTTAAAGATGTTCTCGCATGGGTGGTCCTATTCCTGCTTGTGTTCTAAGTGCCATCCAACTATGACTGTGCCCCCCTTGTGGGAACATGATGCACAGAGACACGCCTTCCCTGCACACAGGAATTATGGACTGGACACATTTTTCTGAAGGGTTGGATGTGCTGACTTGAAGGCCTCTTGAATTTTTCTGCTAGTTCAAAATGTTAAACAACAGCTGGACATGTAGCTCAACGGTGGAGCACTTGCTTAGCCTGTGCAAGACCTCGGTTCAAACACCAACGCCCATGAAATAAACAAACAAACAAAGAAACAAAAAATATTAATTAAGGCCTGGTTAGAAGCCAAGTATGGGTGCATTCATCTGAAACCTTAGCCACTTTGAGGTCAGCCTGGGCTGCACAGTGAATGAAAATGAGGCCATGGCTACTCCAAGGTAATGGTGAAAGAGAAGGTTTTATTGTAGACATGAGGGAGAGAACTGCTAGAGTCATCTGGAAGGGTCAAGGCAGAACCGGGCCAGCGGACTGAAAGGGCCATGGGAGGGGGTAGGTGCACCATGTGGGGTGGATGGGACAGGACAACCCAAGAGAGGAAGTCTCACACAGTACTTGCGTACCTTCCAGCACTTCTCACCCTGCCCCCTACCCTAAACTTCTCCAGCCCAGGGCCTGGGCTTCCTCTCTCCCAGCTTCTCTTTCCCTTGTAAACTTAGCCCTGTGGCTATGCCTCTGGGGACTCGGTTCCTGGTTCCTCCTTAGTCTCTTGGTTACCCTGTGCTCTATTTTTGTTTCCTCTCTCTTCTCTTCTTCCTCTCTTGTGCTGTCCTGTACCATTTGCCTGTGATGTGTGCCAATTAAATAAAATGGACCTTGGGTCAGGAGGCTGAGTTAGCAACTAGTTGGCAGAAAGTCATCAGAGAGCATCAGAGGGCATCTGCGAGAGAGAAAAAGATGCACTGGAAGTGGTGTAACATGAGGGCCGGCTTGCTTGTTGGGGCTTCTGTCCCGCCTGGGTACCCCACAGCCAGCAAGCCCCAAATAAAATCACACGGAGTCAATATTAGGTTATAAACTGATTGGCCCATTAGGTCAGGCTACTTATTAGTTTTTATGACTTATCTTAACCCATTATTCTGATCTATGTTAGCCATATGGCTTGGTACCTTTTTCAGCTGTCAGCTCACATGTTGCTTCTTCAGTGATCTGGGCAGGAATGGCAGAGGGCGCTTCCTGCTTCCCAGAATTCTCCTGTTCTCATTGCATCACCTCTACTTCCTGTCTGGTTTTCCCGCCTATACTTCCTGCATGGCCAATCAGTATTTATTTAAAATATGATTGACAGATTACAGACAATTCTCCCGCACCAAAGTAGTGGGGAGGGCTTTTGAGTGGTGCAGCCGTTTCTGTTTTGGTGGAGCAGAAGGATGTGCTTTTTGGGAGATACCAGTAAGGAGAGAAGGTTAGCTAGTTGCTACTCAGCCTCTCTAGGCTCGCAGGTTTTCACCCCAGCCTTTGAGTCTGGGGTTTTATTTATAAATAGAACAATAGAGATTCAGTTAAAGCTACCTTTATCATCAGCGGCAAAACCAGGGCATGTGGGAAAAGAATTCACACCAAGTCACTGCCAGAGAAGCAGGAGCCACTGCCGGAGAAGCCAGGCGGTACCTGCAGAGTCACAATGGCTGAAATAGCAGTGGATTAAAGTGCAGCCACTGTGCCAAAGAAGAAACTACAAGTACCAAATTTTACCATACAGGTTTTGTATATTTTATTAATAATTAATTCTTCTTTCTTTCTTTCTTTCTTTCTTTCTTTCTTTCTTTCTTTCTTTC